GTGCTGTGGAGTGGTGCTCATGGATGACATTCGTGGGATGCGAGTACAATCCCGCGTAAGTACGCCTAAGCTGTTCTCATCCCTATAACTTTTCTTTGAAAGCCGACTTTCAGAGGAAACTGGCTTGGATCACAGATATACGAAAAGGGAGAACCATGCAAAACAAACGAAGACTGTAAGTGTTCCGGCTGCACTTGCAGTAGATTATTAATCTTTCTGCTTGTATTGCCTCTTAACATCTCTGCGTGGTCCAAATAAATCTTTACCAAGAAGAACTGTTCCTTGAAGTATTCAAAGTGTTTGGAAAAAATCTGAAGGAACGTGCTTATTTATGAAAAAAGAGAGAGCCGTCTCAGAAGGTGACTTCACCAGCAAATGCAAATAGTTATGGTGGAGCTGTGATTTATTCCAGAAGAATTTGGCTCGTGGTTCTAATGATGCACACGTTCGAGAGCTTTCTTATGCGGCCTATTTACTCGATTCGAATAATCCCCGCGCTTGTGGAAAAGTGTAGAACGCTGCAGTGCTTGTCCTCTCACGGATTTTGGCGCATTACCTCTTCGCATTCGTTCATCATCCGCTCCGCGCCCATAAGTTCCGAATTTTCAGTAACCGCTTCGTTACATCACAGGGCTTGCTTTGCATGTCTCTGCTCTGCTCCTAATAATAGTTAGTCTTCATACAGTATATTCTAGATTTCAGTATGCAATATTCCAAATCGCCAGGATTCCCTCTGCTTATCTTCTCCTTCTCATCGTAGTCTAAAATAAGGGTTCGCACCTAGTAGTATTATTAATCTGTAGTCACTTATTAATAGTCAATAGTTCATTTATTGTAGTCTTCATTTGCAGTAGAATTCATCCTTAATGTTCCACCGTATGCTCATTTTTGTAGATCTCTTTTCTCTCGTAGTCCAAGTTAGTTACTTGCACTTGCACTCATACCGTTGGCTTGTATATATCAGCATATATATATATAATATATAATATATACCAGTTTAGCTCCGCCCGCTACCGCGCGCATTGATAGAACTGACAATCGATGAAGCTTTAGGTTTCACCGCTAAATTATAGCTGCTTCGTTAAATGTATTTACCGTCAGTTACATAGGCTGCCCATCTTGGCTGTATCTCACTGTTTGATAAGCGCAGTGAAGTGCACAGCTAAAGTGATGATGTAAACAACCACTATGCGTCGAGTATCGAGGTAATTTAGCGGTCGAATATCTCAAAACGGAATGCCTAGTATTCATTATCATATTTATTCGAGCATCCCATTCATCCTCAAGAACTCTAGAAGGTGTAGCGGTCGGAAGGAGTTTACAATTACAACGCTGATGAAATGATATTGAAATGAAAGGCATTATCTACAATCTGCTCTCTATTTTCTATTTCAAGTGCTCTCTACGTTCGTACGCATATCGTTCCTATCAGTCCTCATCAGTTCATTTTGAATACCCCACCAAAATGTTTCCGTCCCACCCACTATATCATGCCCAAAATCAGCTCCTGAAGACTGCTGCGAAGCGCGCTATGAATTTCGTGACACTCACAAGAGAGAACTCTACAGATTTTAAGCGCATATATATATAATATTTAATTACATATTCACAGCTTGTATTCTTGCCTTTAGTTCACCTTAGTAGTATATTGCATTGACTATTTGAAGTTATATGGAATGACCAGTTTTGCTTCGCCCGCTATCGCGCGCATCACACGGCAGGCTTTAGCGAAATTGGAGGACCCATGGAATATCAGCATGAGATACTCCATTAACCATCTCACTATTGACTGTGTTAGACCCTCCACAGTTTCACTGAAGCTCATCGAGAATACGCGTGATAACGTCTGAGCTGAACTGGTATATTGATCACAACTGTAAACATCCAGCATTTTTCTTGAATTAAGATAATTTAGCGGTGAATAGGATTGTCAGTCTCAAAATCAAAACGAAATATGCCTATTTACATAAGTGAGGAGCTAATGCTTATCATTCATTTACATTCATCATTATTTAGAACCACGAAAGGATTAGCGGTTTAATGAGTTTGGGTTTTCTTAATAGTCAGAAATGAAACTTATCATTTGCTGAAGACTTGTTTTTTAAAGTTTATGCAGTCGAATTCTATTAAGTAAGCTGGATATATATCGAAATAATGTGCACGTACCTTTGTTTGTACTACTACGACTTACTACAATTTGTAAGTAGGAACGCTCTAGTGTCAACGCTGCGTAACGGAACTACGACTTTTGCGTTCTGACGCGCCTTATCAGCCCTTATCAATCGTTATCAGTTTCTGGCACCCACCAACAATGTCCCCGTCCCACCCCACATAACACTTGTAAGTATGGTTGCTCTGGTGTCAACGCGAGCCAGGCAACGGAATCGACGACTTTTGCGTTCTAGCGCATCTTATCAGCCATTATCAGTTGCTATCGCTTCCAATCATGTACCACCAATGTCCCGGGACCGCCCCACATAAGACTTGTAAGTATAGACGCTCTTTTACCAATATGAACGGCAAAACGAAATTGGCGATGCTCGCTTTCTAGCCCCTCTTATCAGCTATTATCAGTCGTTATCAGTTCCTATCACGTACCACTTGTGTCCCCATCCCACCCCCTATAACATATGTAAGAACCACTGCGCTATCGTTACTGTGACTCGAGCTATGAATTTCCGGTCAAACACACACACACACACGGACACACACCAACAGACACACGCTAGCCGCTTATATATAGTAGGATGTTTGTATAACTGAATCTTTATATTGAGTCAAAAATCATCAAAAACTCAAAGGCGTGGGTCCAGCATTCCTCATTATAAAGGAACACACACATCCCTGAAAGGTGTCTTGAACGCACATCGCACGGCCAACCCTTCACAAGTTGTACCAGCTGAACTTCAGAGTGGTTCTGCGAACATCTTACTTAGTAGACCCTTGAACTATCTATCAGTGCAAATTTTCTGCAATCTCATAGCTTTCTGAGAGAATACATCAAATACCAAAATTGATGTAAAAAGGAATTTGCCTCAGTTCATCGTCCCCAGAGGTCCAGCATTCCAAACAAACGTACCCAGTTGAACGGCTTCTTATAGAAAAAGATTCGCGCTTTCGAATGGTTTTTCAATCAACTCGAAAGGTTCAGTCTAAGCCGAGATACGTGCATTTAAAATTTAGGGGTTGGAAAACGACAGAACTTCCTGAAGTACCTAATAATACAGACAGCGTTGGGACAATAGTATGCGCCACACGTCCGCCTTTTTGCTAGTTCTCTGGAAATAAGGATAAAGGATAAAGCATTTGCCGTTGATCAATCCCTTTTTGGGATGCGGCACGCATTCTACTTCCATTTGTACATTCGCAGTGGCGTTTGAATGCGATGTGGCCTATACAATGACTTGCGGGGGCCAGCCGATGTACAAGTCAGTGTTTTTATCCTCCCAGACAAGTCTGGTACCAATTAACCGACCCCGGAGGGATGGAAGGCTTGGTTGGCCCGGGCGACTCACGACCCAGGATTTGATCCCCGGACCGCTCGCGTGGTAAGCGTGCCACTTGCCACTTGCACACCACTTCCCGCCATATTGCAATATATTGTATATAAAACAAACACCCGTACAATGAACTGGGGAGGGCCAATTAGCACTTATGATTTAGCTCATTTTTAAAACTACTCTGCTACGGCAAGTTTAGCAGATTGGTTTCACTTTGATACGCGACTGATGGCTATATCTTGTAAGTAAAGAAAGACTTATAGAAAGTAAACAAAAAATCGGATTCTCAAAGTAATTTTAGAAGCCAGAAGCTCAAAGTTTAGAAAATCTCAAACTTCTCTCTTCATAGAATCTAGGCAATGTTGTCAATTCTGATTCTTTTCTTCTGCCAGCCAGAGTTTCATGTGACAAATTTCACTAATGGCCCAACGCCTGCTATGGTATGGCAGAGCCGAGGACTCCGCCAGAGGACGCTAGCACTATGCGGGACTAACGCTAGGAAGATGAAGAAGACAAAATTCCAACTTGCCCATTAATAAAGTTTTCCATCTGAAAACCTCCCCAGCAGAAGCAAAGTTGTTGAAGGTCCAAATTTAGGAAAACAGGCAAACCTGAGGAGACACCATAGTCATGGGCCATTTGTTTTTACGAGCAATGTTGAATCGATCGTTTAGAGCCCCTGAAAAGAAAAAAAACTCAGTTTGTATAGATTTTTCATGTGCTTCGAAATAGGTTACCAGTCGTCCCGAACACCCAGCACGATCCACAGTAGACTGGAATGTGTTGATTTCGCGTAGGACTGCAGTAATTAACACCGTTAACATTCCTCCAATCCCATTGCTTTGGAAGATCGTTCTTCAACGCAGAGCTTGTCTCCCAAACTCTCGGTTTTGTCCTGAAAAATAGATAACTCGATCGATAACTCTACAAATTGGTCGAATGGTTAATGGGAGAATTTACGATGAAAAAGCAACCCATTTCAAATTAAGTAAGGGATGGTGAGTGGTACACGAAAGAAGGAAAAACCATGAGAAACGGCCCAGAACCCGAGAAATGGGACCCCTTCCTTGCCCGTTGATTTGCGCATTGATGCGACTCTCATCGCTGTGCCCTCTTCAACACTACGCTCTCTCTCTGCTATCTAATCACTCGCCACGTATAGACCTGCGGCGAGTGATTAGATAGTCGGTGGGCGTACCCCGCCAACCGCGCCAAGAGTGAGCCATGCTAGATCGCCGAGGTCAAATCTTTCGCTGCCAATTGCGCGTCGGTCAGCACCCTCAGGAGGTCCGCCTGTCTCCCAACTAGGCAATTTCCCCTTCTTCGACCTTCGTTCTTATCGTGAATCCTCCTTTAACACATTCACGCCGATGGCCGCCCATATGGGCTGCCAACAACATGCGCTCCTGGGACGATGGCAGCCCATATGGGCTGCCAGCTGATAATCGCTTGCCAGGCGCTAGGAATGGACAGATAGGTGGGCAAACCTCGTAATCGAGTGTAAAATGCTTTTAAATTCCTTTACGGGGAAAGTGAATAAATGCTCCCTTTTCGTACCACTATTCGTCGTTTGATCGGAATCCTACTGTTACAATTAATGTTTTTGTTCATTTACAGTGCAAAATCCGCGGTTGTGAGCTTAGGCGGTGGCGCCCACAAAATCACATCCGTCATACGCGACGGAAAGTGGAAAATGGGCAGCGAATGTGATAAGTAGTGAAGGTTACTGTTTCACTACCCTGTGGGAGAGCTGCAAAGGCCGTTCCGTGTTGCCCTCTGTGTCACTATCTTCTGACCTGCTCTGTATTTATGGACAAAGTGCAGCGGGTTAGCTACTGATCAACTCCTTACGCGCCACGCATTTGACTTTCGTACAAAAGCTTGTTGGCATTGCGGAGCGTATTTGCTTCATCCAGTAAGCTTCCGGACGATATGATGCAAGGTAGAGGTAAACAGAAGGACAGTGTGGAGGGTGCCCAACAAGAAGCAACACTTCGCGGTCGCCTCTAGGATGAAAGAAACGTAAGGTTTCAAAAAGGTAGTTGAAATGGTGAAATGACAAGCCTAAAATGGTTAACCGCCCTTTGCTTCTCAGCTTTGCCATCGTCATCACTTAGTCTCGTCGATGGGCCAACTACTACTTTTACAAAACTCGAAACCTTTAAAGCAGATCTTACTTGTGCTCGAACACTTTCCCGCTTTTCTTGAGTCCTCCGTAGCGATGATGCTGCTTGTTTTGCGCGACTGTTTCATCGCTTTGCGTGGTTTCCTGAGAAGTGACTTTGAGAAGGTCTATGTAGCAGGTTGGAAATCAGGAACTAAGCTTTCAAAAAA